TAAGGAAAAAAATCTTCACTTTGAGGGTGAAGTACTGGAACAGATTGCCCAAAGAGGTTGTGGATGCCTCATCCCTGGAAGTGTTCAAGATCATATTCAACGGTACCTTAAGCAAATTGATCAAATGACAATGAAACTGGAACTAGATAATCGTTAAGGTTCCTTCCAAGTCACATAATTCTATGACTCTACGAATTCATGCTATGATTCTACCTTTAGCAACATGCACAGTAATGCAGAAAGTCAGGATGCTAATGAGGAGTTGGGCAAGACACATGTAAAACACATTTGAAAATAAATTTCTATGAATAAAATCTTTGAAATACACCTTTCCTTCTACTTATTAAGAAAATATCAATTTTGAAGTGTCTCAGTTTTCTGAAATGTGGGCCAATAGATACCTGCAGGTCAAACAACTCTGACAGAAATATATAATATGCAGAGGTTTCCCATTTGTTACACAGCATCTCCTCATTACCGTGAGACATGCAAGGTGGGAGTTCCCTACTGAATATGTTCAAAAGCATGGGTTCTAAATAGAAAATTCTATGTTCAGCAGGATAGTTAGTGAGTAGTGTTTCATCACTTGAAGCTGATATCCCACCTGAGCTTTCCTGTCTCCTTAAAGGACCCTTGATGAGATGAAGGTATTCCATGATACAGGTGTTTTTTTTTTTTTTTTTTTTTGCAAGCTTATAATGTATTATTTATCACTGTATCTACCTCCAAGTATTAATAATAAATGTTTTCTCACTTCTGCTGTGAAATCTTTTCAGCTTACCTGAGTTCAGAAAATATACATAAACTTCATCCTATGATAATGAATATAATCTCATTTGATAAAGTAATCCAGAGCATGACATCTTTGGTATAAGCCCTTTGGAAAATTTCAGTCCTGATTATGAGTTGTAAAAAGATTTACATAGTAGCAGTCAGTGTTAATGGACATTTTGTTCCCTTTTTAAGTCTGCATTTAGATTTTCTGTCTTTGTTGACATATGATGAAGGTATCACTTCCCACTGTTAACATTAAGGGATCTCTAGGTCTTGGCTTGAACACGAGACCTACATAGACTTAAGTGAAAACACTTATTTTTCAAATGATTTATGAAGACTGTTCCAAAAGCAATGCCCTCCTATTTTATTATGTTGGATAGATGCTGGCCCAGAAGCAGATATTGTTGGTACAGCAGTAGAGGTTGAGACTTCTCACCAATGTTCTGTTGAATTTTGTTGCCACATGGCAGATGACAGCAGAGGGTCAGTTTAACAAAACTGCATATGACATGGGAGTGAGTATGAAGCAAGGGTGTGTCACAGAATACCTCCATTAGAAAAAAAAATTGCACCCATTGACATCCATCAGTGCTTGCTGAGTGTTTCTGGAGATCAATCAGTAGATGTGAGCACAATGAGATGGTGGATGGTGTGTTTCAGGAGTGTCAACGGCGGCAGTGGGTCACCTCCACTGGTGTAGATTTTGATGTGAGCTGCTTGCTGGCTCTTGTTCATCCTTGGCAAAAATGCATAGCTAATGGTCTTGATTATATTGAAAAACAGTGTTTTGTATTTTTTTTTTTTAATTTACTTTATCAAATAGTGTCATTGTGCAATTCATATCTGCTATAGTTTTCATGGAAATAAATAGGAGACATGACTTTCAGAGCAACCTACTCAGCACAAGTATCCTGTTAGCTGTTTTGGACAAGTGAATGACTCAATTTCCTGGCAGGTAATTACTCTAAATCACTTACTCTAAATCATTGCAATGTTTTCAAAAAGCAAAATAAAAAATCACAATAACTATATTAAATTAAAATTAATACTTTTTTTCTTTCTTTTTTTTTTTCCTAACTCTAACTATCCGTGTGACATATGTGAATTTCAGGCATGCCATACATCATCTCACATACTGCTTAACCAACTGGAACTGCCTAACAAATCATCACTGATCAGGAATTTTTGTTTTTACTACTCTAATTAAGAAGTAGCCCTTACTTTATGAGAATATAAATGTCTGCAACAGATCCAGAAAAAGATAATGTTTCAGATCACAGTCTGCTTTGGTTACGTTTGTTCCAATACATTGGAGTTTTCATAGTGATGTTTTAGCCTGTAATACTGCAAACATTCTAAATATTTATTACATTCAACATTAACATGAACATCTAATTCTCTTCCGTTTGTTGAGAATCTCTGTTATGATTCAGTTTTTGGGACATTTGGTGTAATAGAAGGAAAAGCTTTTAAATCCCATTAATGTGCAAAGCTTGGTCTCCCTTGATTTTTTTTTTTTCTTTTTTCATAGCCATGACTGGACAAAGATGTCATTGCTACAGTGCATGGATGAGAAGCGAGCTCAAGGCTACTTTCTTCAAAGAAGATGTAGTCCATGATTCATGATAACTATCTGACGCATGTGAGACTTATGTTTTTTTTTTGAAACACTGTAGAAGATGAAGGCATGCAATGAGACAGAGAATGACTAAGATCCCTGACAGCAAACGAAGTGAAATATATAACTGAAATCAGACACAGTAATGATAATTGTGCCCAAATATCTTTCCAAAGCACTGAATATTCCCACTTCCAGGAAGATATATTATTTCCTCCTGCATCTGTGACATTATTCCAGCAGTAGGCGTTTGAGCTGAAAGAAAAAGAGAGAATTTCGTGGTGAGGCAGTTTAATGAATGCTGAGGACAAGGACAGTGAGAATGTTGTCTCAAAGAGACTTCCTGGATGATCTGCTTGTGGACCAAAGCTGGAGCATCTCACAAGTGTTCTTACAGGATGTGACAATAGACAAGAAGGCAACATTGGCTGTAGTCCATGACAAAATAAAGTAAGACTGGATTTTTGCTCTTGAGGCAAAATTAAGTCTGGGAAGCAAAAAGAAAAAGCTAAGGATATCCAGAGAAGCATAGTGTGAAACTGTCTCATTACATGTCACATAGAGAAAGATGAAAAAGTAAAGCATTAAGATGACAGAAAGGTTTGAGGAGAAGGGATTCAAATTATCAGAAAGGGGAGACTTGCAAAAAAATGTGCACCTGTACAGGTTGTAAGACTCATTCCAGTCACAGGAAAAACAAGCTTCATAAAGTTTAAAAACTTTCCTATGACCACTGCAATTCTAGATGAAGAGTTTAGGAAATGTTACAAATATAGAAGAACATAGATCCAAAAAACCCCCCCAAAAATAATGTTAAAGCATGTAGATGAAGGCTGCAGGTTCACACACAGGTTTAGAATGGGAACTAGCATAGATAGTTTTAGTGCTTAATAATAAACAATAATATCTGCATAATGAGCATGTTAGAAATGTGAAGGAAAGAAGATAAAATAAAAAATTTAGAACAATGCAATTTTTTCTTCATATTCAAAGTTGTCAAGCTGAGAAATATTTTAATCCTAAATATTTCTTAAGAGAAGGCTCATGAGAGAAGGTTAAATTACTTATAGTAGCAGTTGTGGAACAAACAGACACAAATGATGGAGATTTGTTGCTATGTGACCAGGAGCTTCAAGAATGTAATAAGTAAATTATTATGGCATGCAATACCTTGCTTCAAACCACTGCTGAATATGAAGACATGAAGGTGCTAACATAGCAATGATTTTCTCAAAGATTTTCAGGGAGTTCTTGGAAATTGAAGACAGATATGCCTGATATTCACAGGGCAAAACAGTAGGACTGGAATTAATGGAGTCATGGATAATAATCTCAGATAAAAAAAACTCAGCACAGCTAATCTAAATAAAAGTTGTGTTTTGCAACACATTCTAAATTCTTTGAAGTCACGAGCATGCAGATAGATATGTTGGGATGAACTCAAAAGAAATGAGGGAAAGTGGTTTGTTGTGGAATATATGCTTAATCTGTGGAACTTGGTAGTTTAGAATGCTGTGGACTCTGAAATTTTACATGTATAGCAAAGCAACTGGCAATTTGCCATGAGAAAAAAATACTGAAGGTTGTTAATTACAAAGACATAATCTTGGCTGAAAACCGTTAGAAACAGAGGAAATGTTCTGAATTATTACTACATATTCGATCTGTTCTTATATATATCCCCCAGATGTCATTATAAAAGACTGAAGACAGGGTCAGATGGATCTTGGTCTTAGCATGTTCGTTCTTACATTTTTGCAAAAATGCAGTATATTTTCATAATGAGGCAATGAAAGTGAATATTTTTTAAAAGAAAGATATCTTGAGTTTTCAAATATAGTTTGTTACATAAGAAGAACTTGTAATACATCAAGTAAAATGCTGACTTGATTTTACTGTAAATTCACACCAATGTTCTATCATTATTGCCTTAGTAAAAACTTTTTGCAGCCAAATGTTTTGGTGTAGTTGTTATCAAAGTCTATGCTTGATTAGTAAGTGCATTTCAAAGACAGGGAACATACAAACCTTCAGTGAACTGAAGAAGAGCAGTAAGTGACAATCCTTTTGCTGATTACATACAGACTATGAAACTCGAAATTACCATATTTCTGAAAAGCATCATTTAAAGTAATTCATAAGAAATGTTATAAATTTCTAGAGAAGATTCTATTTTGAAGGTTTAAGTATTTTCAAGGAAAGATATAATCTTCTGGGTCAAGATGTGAAAAATGTGTTCATCATAATAGCAATACCTAGCACGAGCTCAATCTGCTCTGGTTTTCCATACCTTGAAGGCTCAGGTTATAACCTTCTGCCATTTGAAGATGACCATCCAGTCTTCCAAATCTATTTTAAAGTGCACATGAAATGAACTATAAGACTGAGGACAATCCTGTGGAATGATATTTTCTTTTAAACATTAAAACTCTTACTTTGAAATTTAACTTCATATTACTGTAAAAAAAAAACCAGCATATTTTGGTTTGTTTGTTTGTTTTTGTAATATACTGTTGTTCTTTCTGGAACTCAAGTCCTTATATAAAAGATTTTTCACTTTCAGTCATAGTTATTTGAAAATTAATACATTTTGAATACAACATACTCTTAGGAAATCTGGGTGGGTTGTCATTGACATCCGTGAGAGTTATGTTTACAGTTGTGGTTCCAGCTAGTCCTCCCAGTTGTCCTCCCATGTCCTTGGCTTGGATAAGAACTTGATATTGTTCTTTCACTTCTCTGTCCATATTTGGCAAAGCTGTTCTTATCACACCTATGAGAAGAAATGGGAAAGAAAAAGAACAGGTAAATAAAGGGCTGTAATTGTCTACTACTACATTTTAATACTGGATCTCTTAGACCAGAACTGTCTCTTTTTCTAAAGGATTGATACAAGAGCAGTTCACATACAAATATGCAAATCACTTGAACATTTAAAAGTGTGCTGACCACCTATACAGCTATTCAAAATGACCACTGTGACACTTCAAGTAGAACATAAATGGTCAACAGAGAATAACATATATCCACTAGAGATGTAAACAGTGCAAGCATATGTTAACCACACGAGGGACAAAGAACACTATCTTGTGCAGAGTACACAGCATAGAAAAAGACAACAATGTATTTCAGAGCCTGCATCTTCCATGGCTTCAAACAATTCATTGGTCAGCACATTGAAGCTACTGAAGGCCAAGACAAGATGCATTCTGTAGAAGAGAGATGTAGATGGTCTTTATTAGAAGACTCTGCTTTTATCAAGAAAGTTTTCTGGATACAGCACAAAGATGCAGTGAAAACATCAAGAGTTTCCTTAAAGAAATGTAAACAAAACTTACTCAAATGACTTTTAATGCATATTTCTCAGTCCCCTTTCTCATATATTAAGAAAGTATAAAATAAAAGGAAGAAGTAAAAAATCAAAGGAAAAAAATAAAAGGAAAGAGAAGGAGGTAATACTAATCATAGGATTAGTTTATGAGATTGTAGAAAGCTACAAGGTTTTCGGCACTCAAACCTCTCTCTTAAAAGCAAATGTATATGAGAAGATGAATTCTCTATCAAAATTTTAGAAGTGTGTGTTACATTGCAGATTGATATAGATTAAACAATTTTTAGAAAATAGCTAGATGGAAATATTTGCAGGTAGCATATGCAATTAAAAGTATATCAAAGGATGCACTCTTCTTCTCTAAATTATTACTTTTTCATAAAATGCTATTTTCTAGTAACGTGTATGGTTTTAATAGTAGTCTTTTACCCTTGGTGTTTTAATGGATCTGGACTGATAAGAAAAAATCTTGAAGGCCCATTCTTATTTTTTTTCTGTCAACTAACTGCTGCTATATTAACAAGTAAAAATAGGAATTGCTAGCTTACAGTACTTTTTTCTCAATCTAAAAATAACTTTGACCCAAAACTGCTTTTTATGGAACTTATTACAAATTCCTATTAAATTGAATTGTATAGCAATTTCCATTCTCTCCACTCTCCACTGCTAATAACAATGGTTAACAATAACTACTACTTTCCACCTCAGCATGGCATTTACTGTACTGTGTAGATCTAGAATATGACTAGCAAATACTTAAGAACAATTACAACACTATATTTCTGAGTTTTAGAAAACAATTGATGGTGTTCAGTGTTTTTTTTGTTGTTGTTTTGGTTTGGTTTTTTTATTTCAAGACAGAAATCTTGAATTGTAAAACTTAATAAAAAATTTTCATGTACATACTTGTGATTCTTCAGTATCAAAATTGAGTGGCATTATGACAGGCATCATGAAAATAAAAGAACCATTAATAATTAAAGATGAAGGCAATACTCATGAAAAAAAATTGTAGATAAGATGAACATTAATGTGTCTTTTCTGAAATCATTGAATTCCTATTTTTCTCATTGTGGAGACTGTACATTCCATAATATTTTACAACATCCTAAGTATGTTCACTCTGAGGAGTAGAGAATGTGAGAATTAAAGACTTCTCTTGTTTTACCAATGAAACATAGTAACAATAAAAAGCACTGAAAATGGGCTGTGTTGTGAGCAGGAGATGAATGTCATCTGATTATTATTATACCTGCTTTAGGTATTGTTGAGTGGTTTTCTGAGTTAAAAATATTCCTGATAGCCTTCAAAAAATGAAGAACATGTTATCATTCTAGTAGCTGTCTGGAAGTATAAAAGTATTCTGTTTGTTGTTGTTGTTGTTTGTTTGTTTTCTGTAAGAGGTCTTTTTGTCTCCAGGGAGGAAAAAAAAAAGGAATAATTTTCATGTATAACAGTTCATAGTCAATTTTCCCTTCTCTACCTCTCTACCGACTCTTTTAAAAGCTTAGGGAAAAAAAAAAAAAAAGAAAAATGCTATTTCTAACAGAATCCATTTATATGGATGGCATACAGATGAGTTTAAACTATGCGGACACATCAAAAACTATATTAGAGGTAAAATCCACTGGAAAGAAGACTACAGACTTTGGCATTCCACCTTCAGTTTCATAAAGAATATGTAAACTTGGAACTAAAGGCTTATTCTAATATAAAAGTCTTACGTGTAATTGACTCATTTAAAAATGTGTTTTTAAATCCTTCTATTTTAAGATTTTACAATAAAGATCATTCAGATTCTGAACAATATAACTTTTAATTTTTTTCATTTAAAAATTTAAATATCAAATTTGCAGAAAATTATGATTTCAATAAGGCTGCTGAAAACTGATACTAATAAGCACAGGTCCTGAATCAGAAGATATGGCCTGCAGTGTTACTCAGACATAATTCAATAAGATGACTCACTTATGTGGCAGATAAAGAATAGTTTTTGTGAATAAATTCTTGTATAAATATTAATGACGATATTCCTCTCAAAACCAATCATGATTCCAGTAACATAACTGAGGTCAGAATATGGACCAGAATGACTGATCTTAAGAAAAAATTGCAGATATATGTAAGAATATCGACCGTATAACCACATTATAAAATTGGATAGAAAGAAGTTCATGAAAAGGATGTTTGAGTAACAGAACAGTACAGAGAAAAGACTGTCATCTGTCTGAAGAGAAGTACTCCATGTTAAAGAAATCTCTGTTACAATTTTCATCAGGTGAACAATCTCAGAGCATTGGAAATAAACTCCCACGTATAAAATTTGAGGCCTCAGAATATTCCGCTCCAACAGCTGCTCTCCAGCAGACACGGTAATGCATTTAACCTTCCTGCAAGAGCAATATAAGCTTGCTCTCCTGCTCCTACACAGTCATGCCTACCTGCAGCAGAGCACTGCAAAAGCCAGTGTCATGAAAACATGAGTAAAAAGGCAGTTGTGACATTCAAATCCATAATCACTAGAGACTATTTCTAAATTCATATCAGAATAAATTATCTATAAAAAATGACTAGACAAAAGATTATATGTGAAGCTATATGCATGCCAAGCATAACCATAATTTCACATATAAAAGTTTCATCAAAGATTTGACCACTGATACTTTGCCATAGAATTTTAAGGCAGCAGCAATACTAATTTCCACAAAATTTCCAGCTAAAGAAAAAAAAAAGGAAACAATGTTTGGAACAAAATGTTTGGAACTGTTTGGAAAGAAATATAGAACAAAAGAGAGATGGTTAAACTATCTTTTAGATGACGTGAGCTTTCTTGAACACTGTGTGCACATTCTCATCCTTTGATGCTGAAAAGAATACTGCAGAAATGGGAGAAGCCTAGAGGAGGAGAAGCAGCATAATGGAATGGCTTATGTTTGAGAAATTCTTCATTCTGGAAAAGAGACAACTAGGAGAGAATATGATATGAGTATTCCTCAGAATTTAATGGGGAACTTCAGAATTATTGATAGGAGTTAATTTCTCATAGCCTCTCACAACGGAAGAAGTGCAAGGTATGAAAGAAGTTAAGAGGTGTTGGATTTCAAAGAATGAGGAACTGGTTTTTCATCCAAGAAAACTTTTGCTGTGGATTTTCCAGTCAATGAGTGTGCAGGTATGATGCACCTGGACATGTCAATTCTACTGGGAAGTGGACCAGTTATGGAGGAGAAATCCTTTCAGAGTATTCAGTTACAGTTAATTACCACCAAAGAAATATGGAAGGAGAAATTGTCAGAGACTACAGGAAGAGTCTGGGAATGTATCACTAAACTCTTACCTTACTTTATCTAGAGCTGAACAGACAATCACTCTTGTAAACATGATACAGGGTAGCATGAGCCTTTGGTCTGATCCATTATGGACTTTTTAATGTTCTTTAAATAATTACAATACACTGCCTGAAAATTATCACTGGAGAGCAAGAGATAGCAAAAACAGAAGAAAGCAAAACAACAACAACAAAAAAGCAGCAACTGAAAAAAATTGTTTATCCATTTTCCGAGTTTGGTCTGTCATTTTGTATCAAAATGACTTTTCTTTCCTTTTTCTATCACGAATTCAAGGCAAACGTTCTGCAGTAACACTTTGCAATAAAAACTACTGCACTGTCTCTTCAGTTATAAAATAAAACATTGGAAATACCTGAGGATCTATAACAGTGCCAGAGACATCTGGATTTTAGATCAAGAAATTAAGCACATCCTTATTCACTTACTGTTTACCTTTACAGTCATTGTTAGATCCAGAGGTAATTCTCATATTGTAATATTTTAATATAAGACAAGTATTAATAGATAGGTATGGAAACACTAAATTTCTATGATATTACAAGAATAGTCAGCTGTAGGCTATGACCTATGGTCCACTCACAATAGATGAGAGCATATAATGCAGCCATTTAAAGTGCTGGTGTGCAGGGTGAAGTTCTTCCTTAATAATCTTTTTTTTTTTTCCTGGGAAACTTGCACTAGAAGTCAAATTGTGGCTTCAGTAAACGTCTTTACCACCATTTACTACCTCTTCATTCTTTACAAGACAGATTTTTTTTTATTTTTATTTTTTTTTTAAAGGTAAATACTTTTACCTCCCCCAAGACACTTACGAAGTCACATTTCAGTTTTAAAAGTAAAGTTGCTGACTGTAAATTGCAACACAATCTTCTGCTAAATGGAGCATGTGACAAAAGATTGTGCCTGTTGGAGATAGTGCACTAATGGCCTTATGTGGCTCTCACCTCCAAGCTATTGATTGATTAGGGGGAGAGGCTCTTTAACACACTATCTGACATTCAAGGACAGCTTTACTGGAAGGAGAAACTGTATTTGCTGAAAGAGGCATATGGACAACTATCCCTGTAACACATTCAGGATGACAGAACGCTTGACAATCACCATGTAGGTTATTGGCTCCTTAACTGAACTGCTAAATATAGAAACAAGAATGACATTTAAAAATATAGGACAAGATACCTTATTAAGAGGTCTACCAACCTCCCAAATACATCAGTCTCTTTAAATGCATCATCCTTTCCTGTTCACACATTCTGTAACATAAGACAGTCACACTATGCCCCAGGAAAAGAGGAGGATAGGAGATAATTTAGCTGTTGCACAGTCTCAAATTAGCTCAATATAGTAAATCAATAATTTCTAGGGAAATCTGTAGTGTAACTTTATGCATTAAAATTGCCAAGAAAAAAAGAATAGAGACCTAGGATATAAAGCTGAATCGTGAGAAATATATATATAATACATGCAGCAGATGAATCTGTATCTGTAAAGGAATGGTAAAACATCAGGAAAAACTGCTTAATGTATACATATGTTAGATATTCCAGGATTATTTGGAAGAGGGTGTTTATTTTGCTTCATTGCAATTCATTAAAACAGTAGTCAATAATCAAAACAAATTTAAGTGCAAAGTTACTCTACTAGCTTTTCACCTTATCAACATAGCCCATATTTATTCACTGACATTGCAAACACAAATTGAAATATAAAGGTTAAATCTTCCAGTATTGCTGATAAACTGTTTACCTGTCTTTGGATCAATGGAGAAATAGGGTTGCCCCTGAAGAATGCTGTAGACCACTCTGGCACTGTTTCCATAGGTAGGATCATCAGCATCTGTTGCCTTTACTTGGAGCACGTATGCACCTGCAAGGAAACATAGGTAATAAAAATTTCAGTATAGAGCAGTGATGGTGGACATTTCAGACACATTGGTAATGCTGCTAGCTCTGTTGTAACTCCTGTTCCGCTGGATATAAGGTAAGAATAAAATAGTAAGTTGTTCAGCCCCATGCTAGCATCCATCCAGGTAACAACTGAGGAAAAATGGGAAGGAAAGGAGAAGTATCAGAAGATATTTATAAACAATTTATGATGCATACATTATTCACTATATATATATATTAATCTAATATATATAAGAAGGAGACCTGGGAAAGCAGAAGACTGGATTTTTAAAACTAGTTTTGTGAAATGATGGATTTATCATTAAGGTGTGCGCACAGACAACTGTGCAAGTAAAATATGTGCTTTGCCTTTGAAACAAATGTTTGTTCAAGCAAATCCTGAATCTGTCAAAGAACCAATCTGTAAGTGCCTTTAAAAAACTATAATGCAGTTTCCTTTAAGGTTAGCTCTGCAGTGCTTGAATTCACACTCACATTACAAACTGAAATTGGGTATTAATTCAGTCAGTTGTCTATGAAATCTGGACTTCAATATTCTATTTCCAATACAGTTCAGTTGGAAACACAAGCATCCTGGAGGCAGAACCTCCCTTTGCTACACTGTTTTCAGTCACGATTAGAGACCATACCCAGTGGAAAAATCTGCATTATGCTCTGACTTAGCAGCTATCAGAGCCACACATATGAAGGCAGAAAGAGAGAAAACAAAAAATCATTTTTAATGGCAATTGTTCTACATAAAATTATTGTCCTTCCTCCAGGTTGCTAAACAATTCACCCATCTCTATTGTCCCCAAATTAAAATAGTGCTCAAACTACATTTTCCAACAAAACAGATGGCCTCATATCAAGACTTTCCATTCAAATTTGAAGAATTATTATTTCCTATAATCTTATGTGAAAATGAACATTAGAATTTGCAATAGTGATTTTGAGTGAGTGAAGGACAAGGCAATCTATGTGAAAAAACAGTACAGGGAGGAAGCTTGTCCTCCTTTTTGTTTTAAGAAATGTACATTTGGAAACAATGTCAGATGATCTCAAGAATATCCATGGAATACTGCATGGAATTGATGACTGTCACTTTTCTGTAATGAAACTTGAATGTTTTAAAGGATGTTCATAATCTAAACTTTACTGTCATGGACTTGTACTAGCTTATTTCAGGGAGTGTCTTATTAAAAGATGCTTCATGGACAGAAAGGTGACTCACGACAAAGTTTTTCATTTGAAGGACTTTTTTTTTTTCCCCACATCTTTTCACATTATAATAAACAGTAGTGCTGACGGATTTGCAACTAACATTATAAAAATATTAGCTCTATAGTGGCTTCCACTACAGTTTACTGAATAACAGAGAAGCAAACAATATTTAAGGAGATGTTCCTTCTGTCTCCTGAAGACGACAGAGATAACAGTTCTATTTGACTAACAAGGATTTTTGAAGTCAATAGTCTGATAATACTTTTAAGCCAAGGGAGAGTCTGATTAAAGACATATTCTAAAGGAAAGAAAGATTATGATTCTATGATTCCATTAACAATGAATAAATGAACGAAAACAAATGCCACTGAAATTGGTTGTACTCAGTTAACCAAGTACCTGGAGTTACTCTCCCAATTTTCTGGATCTACAGAGCGAAAAATGGTACAGGTTAGAGAAGACTGTAGTCCAGATTCAGTATAACAGTGGAAGCAGTGTCTACTCAACAAATTTGAGTCTAAATTTCTTTACGCAGCATATACCCAGTATGCAGTAGAAAGATTAGAAAAACCCAGCTAGAGAAATACATTTTCCTACTGGATTAAAAGACAGAAGCCACTTAATACACGAGCACTTGAAGGCCACCTGTGGACTCTTCCCATTGTGGAAGAAAAGGCAAGGTCTGTTCCTTTTGGAGCACTTACACTGACAAAACCTGTCACACAGATTTTTCCCTCACCGCACAGTACAGCACCTACCACTGGTATCCATGCGATTGTCTCCATTCATCTCTGCAGTATCTTACTGTCTTTCCAACATAAAAAAACAGACTATTTTTTTCTTTGGAAAGAAATACTACTTTTTAACATAGTAGCAGTCTCCTCCTATCCCTAAGTTGCACATCCATTCCATATATTTTGACTTTTAATGAATTTTGTTCCCCTCACAGGTGGAAGAATTAGGTTCCCAGGTGCTGAAGTTTGAAATTGAGTTGGTTGACCAGAAGCAGCCTATCTGACAAGTGTGCTGCTTTGGGACTGATTTGAAACATCCTGCACTTTTACAAAGACACGTATTCCCAAGTCTCCCCTTGGGCCAGGACATGCTTTTCTGATGCCCTACTGGTCACTGAAAAGGGTGCTAATTTTTGTTTATCTTCTATATGTAAATTGACAAAATTTTATTGGCATATCACTAAGACTTTTGCTTTGAACCTTAAAGCAGGCAATATTCTATGTAAGAGAACAGTACAGACAGAAAAAGGCTCACAAATACAAAAGCTGAAAGTAAACTCAAATAAAAGCCACAGTGGCTGAGAGTTGGTTTTAGACCTCATCCTCTATCCCAACATTTGTATTACAAGCCCTAGGAATGCTTTAAGGAACAGCCTTTTTGTGCATTAGTGACTGGCTTCTCTTTCCAAAACCACCATAACCAGACTCCTTATTCTCACTATACCAGCATCATTTTCCTCCAACACAAACATTATTTTCCTAAAATAAATATATATTGATAGAGAATAAGCCAGAAGGAGTACTTTCATGGAGGAGTTCATGATACCTATTATTATTTGATTTCTACAATGTGGGCAGTGACTTTCATGCCAGGAGTATTTGCAGACACAGGCAGAGCACATAGAGCCTGGCAGCACTGGTCAGCACAGACCAGTGTTGCAATGTAGGCATGTGAAACACCACAGCTGAATCTATATCTATTTCTATGCCAAAAAGTTGACACTGTAAGGTGAAGGAAATGAATAGCAGCCACCAGCCTGCTAGAAAATGCTGTAGCTGACCTAGGTGCCTGGTGGTCCCTCACAGACCAGTTCTTAGCTGTCTACTAATATTAGTTTACATGATTTTTTACACATATACTACAAATAATTCACTCATTATACAAAAGAAAAAATAAATGGTGATTTATAAACTAAGCTTTATTAAAGCAGATTTTCTAAGTCATCCTTTAGATAGATAAGTTGAAAATATTGAATATGAAAAATAGTATTTCCCAGTGATAGCACTTTCAACTGTATTAATCCATATCTTATATCATCTACAACAGCTAGCATGTAAAGCTTGCATTTTTATGAGGTCAAGTTTTTTTTTTTTTTTTCTTCATGGGCCATCAGTTATATATTAACTAAAATATATATCTAATTTTTGGAACAGGTTTTCTGAAATTGTTTTCTCATCCTTTCAGTATTATAAAGCATTGCCAATAAGTTTTCTACTTTATTGTAAAGCATAAAACTAATATACTTTTAAAAGTGGGCTCTAAAACCTCTAAAATGGTGGGTTTTGTTGCTGGTGGTGGTTTGGATTTTTTGTTATGTTTTGTTTTCCAGAAATAATACAGGACAGTGGAGCTGTAAATCTTTAACACACAAACATAAGATCAGAATCATAGAATCACTCAGGTTGGAAAAGACCATAAAGATCATCAAGTCCAACCATTACCTAACCATACTACCCTAACAACCCTCCACTAAATCATGTCCCTGAGCATCACATCCAGGCTTTTCAACACATCCAGGGATGGTGATTCAACCACCTCCCTGGAGAGCCCATTTCAGTGCTTAAAAACCCTTTCTGTAAAGAAGTTTTTCCTGATATCCAATCTAAACTTACCCTGGCACAACTTGAAGTCTTTTACCCTCATCCTGTCACCTGTCACCAGTGAGAAGAGACCCCATTTTTACTGTAAGCACCTTTCAGGTATTTGAAGAGAACAATAAGGTCTCCTCTCAGCCTTCTTTTCCCCAGACTGAACATTCCCAGTTCCCTCAGTCTCTCCTCATAGGGCATATTCTCCAAGCTCCTCACAAGCCTTGTTGCCCTTCTTTGGACCTGCTCCAGCACCTCGATGTCCTTTCTGCATTGAGGTGCTCAAAACTGAACACAGTAATCGAGGTGAGGCCTCACCAATGCCGAGTACAGAAGCAGGATTACTTCCCTAGTCCTGCTCACCACTCCATTCCCGATACAAGCCAGGATGCCATTGGCCTTCTTGGCCACCTGGGCACACTGCTGGCTCATATTCAGCCAACTGTCCATCAGTACACCAAGGTCTCTTTCCATCAGGCAGCTTTCCAGCCACTCCTCCCCAAGCCTGTAGGGTTGCCTGGGGCTGTGACCAAAACACAGGACCTGACACTTGGCCCTACTGAAATTCATGCAGTTTTCCTTGGTTCATCGATCCAGACTATCCTGGTCCCTCTGTAGTGCCCTTCTCCCTTCAGGGAGATCAACATTCCCTTCCAACTTGATGTCATCTGCAAACTTACTGAGGCAGCACTCAATCCTCTCATCAAGATTGTTAATAAAGATGTTAAATTGAAGCGGCTGCAGTACTGAGCCCTGGGGGACACTATTGGCTGCCAACTGGATTTAACTCCATTGACCACAACTTTTTGGGCCCAGCCATCAGTCAGTGTTTCACCCAGTGGTGCATACACCCATCCAAACCATGGGCAGCCAACTTCTCCACGAGAACGTTGTGGGGGACAGTGTCAAAGGCCTTACTGAAGACCACATCGACAGCCTTACTTTCATCCACTAAGAGGGTTACGTTGTCATAGAATGAAGTCAGGTTTGTCAAACGGGATCTACCATTTGTAAACCCATGCTGACTAGGCCTGATCCCCTGATTGACCTTTAATTGGTCCATGTTGGGTCCCAAGATTATCCGTTCCATAACCTTCCTTGGCACCAAGGTGAGACGGATAGGCCTGTAGCTACCAGGATCCAGTCCACTGGG